GTGCAATGACGTCTACAACCAGTCCCTGCAAAGCACCACCATGTACATGTCCCCAGAAAGGAAAGATAGTGGAAGGGAAGTGATCTGCATAGCACAAAGAGGGACCATGCAGCTAAGGTCATGCAGATCGGATACACACGTTTGTTATGAGTGGCCCATTCTGGCATGCAAACCTTGTATGGGAAGAGGCGCCTATGCTTGCATGGGCTGGCCTTGTATGGGAAGAGTGGCCCATGCTTGCATGGGCTGGCCTTACATGACATGTCTGGTCCATGCTTGCATGGGCTGACCTTTCATGACATGTCTGGCCCATGCTTGCATGTGCTGACCTTTCATGACATGTCTGGCCCATGCTTGCATGGGCTGGCCTTTCATGCCATGTCTGGCCCATGCTTGCATGGGCTGGCCTTTCATGACATGTCTGGCCCATGCTTGCATGGGTTAACCTTTCATGACATGTCTGGCCCATGCTTGCATGGGCTGGCCTTTCATGACATGTCTGGCCCATGCTTTCATGGGCTGACCTTTCACGACATGTCTGGCCCATGCTTGCATGGGCTGACCCTTCAAGACATTTCTGGCCATGCCTGCATGGGCTGACCCTTCATGACATGTCTGGCCCATGCTTCCATGTGCTGACCCTTCATGACATGTCTGGCCCATGCTTGCATGATATTGACAACATGGACCCGTATGACATGGGTGTATGTGCGGTCCAAGAAGAGCAACGTAGCTGAAATGGTAAAGATCGATTGGTTGTCGATGGTGGAATGACAACAAGACCGGTTAGAGAAAGCAATTCGCACTGATCGAGGGGGAAAGTTCCTGAGCAAGAAGTTCTCATTGTTGCTGAAGAAGAATGGCATGACGCACTCCCTTACCATCCCATACTCCCTTGCAATGAACAGCATCGCCGAGCGAGCAAACCAGACAATCACGGAGACGGCACGCGGGTTGCTCATTGAAGCCGGGCTACCTGACCATTTCTGGCCTGATGCGGTGAGGAGTGCGTGTGTGGCCAAGAACAGAGCCTTGACTCATGTGGGAGCAGACAAAAGGGTGCCCTATGTGAAGGGGATTGGAAGGAAGACAAAGGTGGATATGCTTCAGGAGATCGCTCGTGCCTAAGCATCTTCGGCACAACAAGCTTGGTGCCAAGGCGATATGGGCTGTGCACTTGGGCATGGCTCAAAGCAGCAAGGGATGGCTTCTTTGGGACCCATTCACCAAGAAGTTCTTGATGAGCAGGGACTGCAAGTTTATGGAAAACTTGATGTACATGGATTGGAAGGCGGAAAATGAGGCGAAGATAGGCGTGCGGTTTGGGGAGGTGAAGAGTTTCGGCGGTGCATGAACCTTCTTTGGACCCCACACGTGGCAGGCGGTGCACGTACCTTCGTTGGACCCCACACGCGGCATGCGGTGTACGTACCTTCCTTGGACCCCACACGCGGCAGACGGTGCACGTACCTTCCTTGGACCCCACACGCAGCAGGCGGTGCACGTACCTTCCTTGGACCCCACACGCGGCAGGCATTATAACGATGAGCTCTAGTCGACCTTCAAGATAACGCGCTAGATTGCGAGCATGATGGGCACATGGGGCAAGATGCTTTTTCCTACGCCTAGCTAGTGACGATGAGGCTTGATCGTCAGCGCCGTTTCCATGCAAGCTGCGATTGCATGCACAGAAAACCCAATCGAGGTTCGAACGTTTCTGGAAATCCAGATTGCGGATTGTTCCTTTAGGACGTGGTGCAAATCGGGGCGATCTGGGGCTGATTGCCTCGATCTACGCCATCTACAGTTTTTGAGAAGGTCCAGGGGGTACTTTGGGCCAATCTGGGGCAATCTATCGATCGCAATCGAGATCCCGATCGATTGTGATCGATTTCCTCGATCTGATGCCATCGATTGCAACCGATTGCGATCGATAGATTGGGCGTATTGGCGATATGTGCAATCAATAACCACCGACACAGAGGTTCACTTCTGCTTGCTGCTACAAAACATCTCGCCACATTCAAACATTTCAGACAGAATCTCTAAACCAATCAATTCGTGCGAAGCGATCCAATTCGATTGAGCGGCAAAACAAGGCTATATTGTAATCGTCTGACACAGATGTTCGCTTCGTTTCGCCAACTTTAAGCTGGAAGGGACGCGTGGCTCGCTTGGAAGGCGCTGCTGCGATTCTGTCAGGTTTCTAGGAAATTGTTTCGTTTAATTGCGTGGCGTGGGAGGCGTTGATCGAGGAAACCACACCCAATCATCCCTGCTCTGATTCAATCAACAACCGATTGCGTGAGATCATTGCGATCTGCACCACGTCCCTTGGGTGACCAACAAAAACCGAACTGAATCGAACCACAAAGAAACCACATATTCATACCACTCTTCAGCAAACGTAATAACCTTTAATTAATAGTGGTGTTCTGGTGGCACATGCCGAGGGGGAGGAGGGGGGGAGAAGGTAAATGATGATGGTTTCTGTGATGTCTCCTATCTCGACATCACCTCCTCCCGCTGCAACCGAAAATGGAAAAATTCGGCAGCAGAGGGAGAGGGGGGAAGGCCCCGACGGTAAATGACGAACTGCCAGCACAGTTTCGCCAGCGGGAAAGAGGGGTAGTGCCATTGGCGCGAATGCTGAACAAGGGTTAGTAAAGTTCACGAGGGAGTTCTGAATGAAAAGTAAAAGACCCAAACAGGCACAACTCCCGAGAGTCTTCACTTCGAGCACGTTTGAGGGAACTTGATAGGGGTATTTTTTGGGTTGCTAAGCAACCTATTACAAAGGTTATGTACAACAATTTTTTTTCATCATCTATAAATGTATATAAAAGATAAACTAAAAAAGCTTGTACACGATAGCCTAAACGATTGCTACTCACTTGCCATGACAGCTTACCACTTGACATGGTACAATATTTCTTGAACTTCTGTAATTTGCCCTCGCTCTTCGTATGGATGAATAGAGTGCAAGAATGATGTAATTGAAATTTATGCAGCTGTTTATTCTGTAATGCATACGCAGAAATATTATGTTGTGCATAAATAAAGTTGGAATGCATGCATAACGATGAAAATTTTATAATAATGCTTAAATATAATGCATATGCTGTAGTGATATGTGTAGTATATACCTGTATATACCATACCAATCATGTGAATGCGTAATATGATGGAAATGCATGTTAGTTAATTGACCCATACACTAGGCTATCGCATCTTCTACCTAGCATGGGGGGGAAGTCAATTGCATAGCGTTTGAATCATCCAACTTTCACATGAAACAACACAATCTGAATGATCTGAAAAAACCGTCAATTTTATCAAATCCAGTTCAAATGAACACACTCACTGAGTGGGCAAAGAACCTTCTCGGACATGATAGTTTGATCATAACTTTTAAAACCCACGGACATGTGTTATTAATGCAGTGGAAACATGAATGAAAGCACATACTCACACAACAGAATGCAAACCCACACAAATTAAAGAAACAATCATCAAAAAACACCCTTCATCTCTCTCATACCTCACTGATTTCACGGTCGCATGAGTCTTCATAATCTGTTCAAGTGTAGAATAATCAACCTAAAAGTTTTGACTTTATAAGCCCAGTGTATCAGAGGTCCACTGGTGATCCCCGATTGATCCTAGGGAAGGGTTACAGGCATGTTGGCCTGGGGGGTTATGGGCGCACTGACCCGCTACTTAACAAGCTCTTTTATCCCAGTGGTCTAGTGGCTGGGATTCTGACATAGTGAGCATCTTCTCATTGTTCCTAATCGCTCGCATTTTGCCTTGAATAGTATCCACCCAAATTTCATAATTGCTGAAAAAGAAATGCAATTTTTTAGAAGAAGTAGTTGTTATATATCAATCATGGGAAGATGTAGATAATCACAATGAAAAAATGGCCTTACGTCTTGTCTTATTGCGAATGTTGACGAAATCGACGTGCTCGATGTGTAAAAGCTCAATGGAGCGTCGCTCGACTGTGTGATCATCGAGATATTTAAGATAGTCTTGCCCTCGCGTGCTCCTTCTGGACGTAAGTTAACCTTCAATAAAAACTAAACAACACACATATGATAATTCAAGTTTAGGCACATATAAATTGTCAGAAAGTAGGAATCAAGAATGACTAGAATGACAACAGTACAGGGTTTGTATATGCAAAACCTAATTGGGCTGTACCCCATAAGAAGTGCCCCACTACAGCCTAGAGCATATAAATGCATAGTTCTGACACACCCCCATAGGCAAAGTAGGGGACAAGCAAGAGAGCAAAGCAAGGTCAAGCTCAGGGTGGATCACAACGTCACCACACAGTCCGAGCATAAGCAAATGGCCACAAGGCTAGTTCACATGCAGAGTTATATATTAAGAAGAACAAGTAGTACAGTAATCACAACCTAGCAAGTGTAAGCATGCAGGTATAAGTATAAAGATCACAGGATAAGCAAAGTCAAGAAGTGAGCAAGTGAGACCAAGTAGGCACAAGTGTTACGAGACTAACTTAACTGGTAACCGGGTTTAACTAGGGCCTAGGCTTAGAAGCCTAGGCCATGCGGGTATCGAGGAGTTTGTGCCAAGGAGGATTGAAGAATGGGTGAGTTCACTATAGCATACAAGGTACATATAGCAAATTAACAAAGGTGAAAGAGGTGCACCACCATACAAAGGAATTGCACAACAGCTACACTACAGGCAGATTATACTAAATAGAGATAAATCTATTTTGACACACCCCTATCTGCCTGAAGTGCATAACCATATGCAGAGCCCCCCTTGAAGGGGTACACCTGTAAAACCCCATTACAGGGCGTGGGAACACCAGCAAGGGGCCCCCTCTGAAGCTAACAAGCAGCAACCACCAATCAGCATCTGAACCACCGCGGTGGAACAGGTGCTCGGCTGCGGTTGAACGCCCCGCAGCAGGTGCACGGTGTGCGAGGAGCACGGGTACGGGTAGCGGGTTCGGGTAGCAACTAGGTGCTGTACGGACGGGCTGCACGGGGGTGACGGGCAGCACGAGACCGGGCAGCACAGACCGAGTGGGGCGCGAGCGAGAACTGACAGCACTGGTGGGGCACCAACGGGTACGGATAGCACGGATAGGGCACAAACGGGCAGAACGGGGCAGCACGGGCAGAACAGGGCAACACGGGGTCGGAGATGGGGGTGGGGTGGCAGTTGTCGGTAGGGGGGGGGCGGGATCTGGGGCAGAACGGCGGTCTGGGTGCAGGTACAGGGTGCGGACGGGTCTCGCGGATGGGGGCACAGACGTCGTGCGTGGTGCGGATGGCGTACGAGCAACGGGCGCGGTGCGGGGTGCGGGTGGCGCACGGGCGGCGGGCGGGGTGCGGAGTGCGGGTGGCGTACGGGCGACGGGCGGGGTGCGGGGTGCAGGTCACGGACGATCTGGCGAGTGCAATGGCGTAGCAGCAGCTTCTCCCGCCACTCCCACCACTCTCGCCACTCCCGCCACTCCCTTCACAGCTGTTGCGAAGTCGACGGGAGGGCGGGCGGGGACCTGGCGACGGGCAGCGGAGTGCGTACGGGTGGCGGGGATCAGGTGACGGGCGACAGCGCGACGGGACGGGCGACGGGCTGCAGCAGCGGAAATCGCGCGGGTGGCGAGATGCAGTAGCGGGTAGTGCGCGGGGTCGACGGGGGCGAGAGCGATGGCGCGAAGCAGTGGGTCGACGATCGCCGTCACTCCCGCCGCGACCGTAGCGTCTGTCATGCCTACCATGACGAATTTTGCTATGGGCGAGCGAGGGGAAAGGACGAATGGGGCCGTGATTCGCTACTTAACTGGACGCGCCATCGTGAAGTTTAACGGTGGGCCCTTCAAAAATAGGTCAGGAACGACCTAGCTCTATACCATGTCAGAACCCCAGCCACTAACCACTGGGATAAAAGGGCTTGTTAAGTAGCGGGTCGGTGCACCCATAACCCCCCAGGACAATGAGCCTGTAACCCTTCCCAAGGATCAATCGGGGATCACCAGTGGACCTCTAACACAGGATGCATGTGAGACTTACGCACGTCGACATGGATACCATACGGAGCTCGGCGAAGCACGAGGTTGCCATTGGGCTGGACCTCAAGTCGACAACGGGGGCCGACTCTCCGTGTGTCTCGTGCGTCGGCGGGAAGCTGGCGCGGTACACCTTCCCCGACCAAGGCTCCGACGCCGACGACGTGCTGGCCGTCGTGCACATTGACCTGAGCGGGCCGTTCTGCGTGGTTGCCAAGGACGGCAGCTTGTAGGACCGCAAGACCCGCTACGTGTGGGTGAGGCTTGTCGCCAAGAAGTCGGATGTGCTGCTGGAGATCCAAGTGGCTGGTGTTGGTGGAGAGGCAGGTGAAGAAGTCGGTGTTGATGCTGCGCTCAGACCGAGGAGGGGAGTTCCTCGGGAAGAAGTTCACCGACTTCGTGGACGGCAAGGGGATCGTCCACGACCTTACCTACCCGTACACCCCACAGCAGAACGGCATGGCGGAGCGGGAGATGAGGACGGTGGTGGAGTCGGTGCGGACGATGCTGCTACACATGGGTGTGCAGCACCACTGGTGGCACCTCGCTATGCGGCAGGCCCTCTGGGTCCGCAACTGCCTTGAGAGGTCGACGCTACCACCGGGGACGACGCCGTACGAGCTGTTCAATGGACAGAAGCCCGACTTGTCTATGGCGCGGGTGTGGGGCTGCATGGCGCAGTTCCTTGTCCCCGAGCAGCAGCGTGGTGGGAAGCTGAAGCCGAAGGCCAGGTGGGGCCTTCACCTTGGCGTGTCGACGGCGAGCAAGGGCTGGGAGCTCCTCGACATCGCCAACAACCGGGTGGTCACCACTTCGGACGTGGTGCTCTACGAGGATATGTCGCTGGAGGTGTGGAAGTCGGAGCACGGGCCAGTGTCAGAACAAACGCCGACCACCCCGCCGTCCGACTTCTCGACTGCGACGCTGCCTCTGCTCGCCGAGGTCGGTGAGCTTGCTGGTGAGGACGTCGAGGTCGTCCGTCCTCCTTCCCCTCCCCCTACGACCCCTGCCCCTCCCCTCGTGGCCGACCTGCACGGGATGCCTCCTATGTCGGCCTCCGGCGATGAGGGGAGTAGTGGGACGTCGCCTTCGGCGCCAGCCAAGGGCATCGCCGGTGGCCGATGTGTCGAGCGGCAAGTCCACGTGGGAATGAAGTCGACGTCGATAAGGAAGAACCAGGTTGAGGAGGTGCAGCCGACTTTGGTGAAGCCAGCAAAGAGAGCATCAGCTGGGCAGCAGCCGCCAGGGGAGCAAGCAGCGGTGATGCCGACCACGGAGCAATCGACAACCAGGCAGACGGCAGAGGAGCCGACTACAAGGGAGAGGTCGACCAGAAAGTCAACCGAGGGGCAGCAGGACGACGAGGGCAGCGAAGCCGGTGACGAAGGGGAGAAGTCCACCGACAACGACGTGGTGGAAGTTCGGCCTGAACCCCGGAAGTCAGGCCGACTTCGGAGGCCGCCCGACTTCTTTGTCCCTGCTGCCTTCACCACGGTGTACAACGTGGGTGATGACGACCTGGCGTATGACGACGCGGAGGAGGATGAGGAGTTTCCGGAGCTCGACCCCGACATGCATGCCGACCCCGAGCACCGTTGGGACATCTTGACGATGACGGTGAAGGAGGCGTTGGGGAGCTGGAAGGGCCCGGCGGTGAAAGCCGCCATGAAGGAGGAGATCCGCAGCCTCGTCAACATGGGCACTTGGAAGCTGGTCGAGCGCCCGCCGGGAGTGAACATTAAGAAGAACCAGTGGGTGTTGACAACGAAGTACCACGTCGACGACACCGTCGAACGCGAGAAGGCGAGGCTGGTCGTGAAAGGTTTCACTCAGGTATATGGCGCCAACTACGATGAGACATTCGCGCCGGTGGGCAGCTACGTCACGCTGAGGATCTTCCTCAGCATCGTCGCCGTCCTCGACCTCAACTTGATGCAGCTCGACATGAAGAACGCCTTCCTGCAGAGCAAGCTCGACCGGGTGCTCTACATGTCCCAGCCGGACTACTTCAACGACGGAACCGGCCGGGTGTGCAAGCTGCTGAAGAGCTTGTACGGGCTGAAGCAGTCGCCGCTGCTGTGGTACTTGGCGCTCAACGACGTGCTGGTCGGCGCCGGGTGGAAGAAGAGTCAGGTTGACGAGGCTCTGTACTTCAAGGTCGGCGACGACGGAGTGGCCTGCTGGGTGTTGGTCTACATCAACGACCTGCTCGCCGCCAGCAGCAGCACTGGGATGCTGAAGGAGCTGAAGGAGCTGCTGGCGTTCGCCTTCGAGCTGCAGGAGATCTCGGCAGTGCGGAAGTTCCTCGGGCTGGAGATCGTCCGCGACAGGTCGGCGAGGAAGCTGTGGCTGCACCAGCAGGGCTACGCCAACAAGCTGCGTAGGTGCTTCATCGACGGGGAGCAGACCAGGCGCACTCCGAAGACGCCGGTCTCGGTCGACGCCTACGCCGAGCTCACCTTCGACGACAAGGAGGCACAGGATCGACAAGAAGAGGAGTACCGGCAGAAGGTCGGCTTGCTGCAGTTCGCGGCGACGACGACGAGGCTGGACATCGCCTTTGCCTGCAGCAAGCTGGGGAGTGGCCTCACGGTGAGGAGTGACCAGCACTGGCGCGAGGTCGACCGCTGCCTCGCCTACCTCGCCAACACGCGTGACACCGCCCTGGAGTTCGGCGGTGGACCTGAGTCGCTGGAGCTGGTCGGCTACGTGGACGCCGACGACGCCGGTGACAAGCAGAGCAGGGAGAGCACGGGCGGCTACGTGTTCGTCTACGGAGGGGCCGTAGTCTCCTGGTCGAGCCAGCGCATCAAATGTACGACGTTGTCGTCGACCGAGTCGGAGTACGTGGCGGCCACCGAAGCCGGCAAGGAGGGACGCCGACTTCGCTTCCTTCTCGCAGAGTTCCGGCAACTGGATGCCGGGAAGCCGACCGTCCTCCGGGTGGACAACAAGTCGGCCATCACAGTCGCCGAGGGCATGGGGTTGACGGGCAACCTCAAGCACATGGAGCGGCGACAAGCCTGGCTGCAGCACATAGTGAGGCGCGGGAAGTTTTCGCTGAGGTACATCCTGGCCACCGAGCAGCCGGCCGACTTTATGACGAAGGCGCTGCACTATCCGGCCTTCAACCGGTGCTTCGTCACCATCGGCCAGGTGCGCTTGGCCGACATGGGCGACGAAGGTGACAAAGTGCAGCAGTAGGTGCCATGCCCTCTTGCATGGCTGGTGCGGTGGACGACGTGCTGTATGTTGGGTGCACGTCGACGAGCTATTCACCGAGGAGTACTGTCGTATGGGCTGGGGGCCCAAGCGTGAGTGCGGCAGGGGATTGTCAACAAGAGTTGTGTGTTGGCCCTGTCCGCACTTGGGCGGAGCCGACTTCGTGGTCGGGTGTGAGGGGAGTAGCCGATCTGCAATAGTGGGCGAGCTGGTTGACGAGGAGGTCGACCTGCACGGGGGCCACTGCATGGGCGCCGACTTCATAGTGGCGCCGACTTAAGGGAGGTCGACCTGGGAAGTCGACCTGCGGGGGGCGTCGACTTGGTGACGCCAACTTGGGGCAGCCGACTCGGGTGGTCGGCTGAACGACCTGCTGGTCGACCTGGTGGTTGGTCGCCCAGGCGCGATGTCGACCTGGTGGTCGACGGAGGAAGGGCCAACGTCGACCTCGACTCAGGGCGTCGAGTAGCAGGGCGTCAACTTGGTGACGCCGACTTCAGGTAGCCGACTTGGGTGGTCGGCTGACAACTGCGATGGTCGACATGGAGCTGGTCGACTAGGAGTGCTGGTCGACGTGGAGCTGGTCGACCAGGAGTGACGTCGTCCAGGAGCTGGTCGACCAGAGGCGTGGTCGACCTAGTGAGGTCGACTTCAGGTGGTCGTCGATTTGGGAGGTCGATAGGCACATACGGAAGCAGCTGGTCGACGTGGTTGCCCGGTCGACCAGGTTACCTGGGTGACGAGGTTCTGCGGAGGAGTGCGACGGTCGCCCAGGCGAAGTTGGCGAGTCCGACCTTGGTGGTGGTATCCCGAGGTCAACATGGTGGATCAGGTGGAGTCGTCAGCACAAGGATGACTTGGTGTGTGCGTTGTGCAGGTGACGAGGCTCAGCCCGCCAATCATCTGCGAGCACCTGCGAAGCGGGTGCGCTGCTGTTCTGCGGGAGCAATGCTGGCACGCCGTCAACCTGCAACGTTGGCACGCCGTCGACTTTGCACTGCTGGAGCGCGGTCGACCAAGTCGTGCTGGAACGCGGTCGACCATGCTGCGCTGGCAGTCGACCGACCTGAATGCTAGCTCTGATGTAGTCTTGCCATGCCAACTTCATTGTACCATTGTTGTCAACTTTCTCTAGTGAAACTCTTGCCAAAATTGCCTCGTGAACTAGCAAGCAATGTATGCACTAGGAAACCGACTAAGGGCCAACGAACGCAGAGATCACACGAGCACCCGTGCCTAGCCCATAGTCTAGCTCCCGTTGTATTAGTTATCTCCGCAGGGGGGAGGGTGAGGGGGTGGCAGGAACATGCCTACAGCACCTACCGCCTCCTCCTCTCTTCCCTTGCCGCCCCTGCTGCAGTGGTGCGAAGGGGGAAGGGGTGTGGGGGTGCGGGTATGACCAGGCAGCCGCCCCCTTATTAAGTTTAGGAGCAAAGTAGGAGTTTAGGAGAAGGAGCATATCGAGAGTTACGGGAGAGGGT